TATTTAATAATTGTGGTTCTTTTGTGATAGTCATAGCCAGAATTTTATCAAGAGCCAAATCTTAGAAAGAGACTGTTTGACAAAAAATACTCAGAAAATATTCATACACCTTTCATATGGTTTCAAACCCAATGGCAAGTTCGGTCCATAAAGAAGATTGAATACAGACAATGTTTGTGTAGGTAAAATCTAAATACACACTGAAATTGTAAATGCAAAAAAAAAAAAAAAAAAATCCCAGTTCATCTATTAGCTTCTCATGTAATAAACAATTTGGAATCACACTTTTACACTCAGCCCAGTCTCTACATTAATATGTCTGCCTCAAGAGGACTAATTATCAGTAACAGCGATATGAACATGGAGTGCAGTGAAACTCTAAAGGAGCCAGTAGCTCCATACATGACAGAGTTTCTGACCGGGGACAGGGAATCGTTTCCTGATGAACAGGCCCAATGGAGGATCCGAGATACGGGCAGGGCACAACACTCGAGTCTCAGGAAACACCGACCACAGACGTCAAAGTCCACACAAGGGAGCTCATATCCACCCAACAGAGCTCATCTCCAATATGCAGCACATCCAGCTTGAAAACCATCTGCTTTTGTGAAAAGTGTTTCAATAACAATGACACAGCTCTTTCCCATCCATCAACAGGCAAATGATCTCATACAATTCGAAACCCTGCCATTAATCTTAACCTAATTGTATATTTTTACATTGCAAAAATATTTAGTAGGATACTAAGTTATTAGGTTCATGTTGGGTGATCTACAGGTTTATAGCTCTATAGTGATCTACAGGTCCAAAAACTAACCAATTACATATTTTTGTAGCCAAAAAAAAAAGGTTGGTTCTTCTGGAGATTTTTAGAGTTGTTCTTGTTCTTCTGAAGAATTGAGTTGATTATGACTGTCATTTAGTGATGGTAAGTCTGACTCATTCCCGTGAATTGGTTCATTTGAACAGTTCGCTTCAAAGAGTCGGTTAAAAAAAAAAAAAGGTTATTTTTTCGTGTCTGATTATAATATTTTACTATTAAGTTTTGTTAATAAGGGAGATTATTGTAATCAGTTTTTTGTTTAACAATTTAAAAAATGCTACTTATTAAAACTACCTGTAGTGTGCTAAAACTGTCATTCGATCAAATTGTAAACACAATTCGAACAGATTTTTTTTTGCGAAATTTAGTATAACGTTAAGTGTTTTATCAGCACACACACGAATATTAAAGTAGCCTAACATTAGTGATATCCTCTGTTCTCGGTTGAAATAATCGATGTTGAGATGCTGGGAGCGATTCAGTTCGCAATCGAATCGATCAGACCGGTTTTTGTGAACCGCTCCGAACAAATCATTGATTAGATCTGACTCAAAACAATGATTCGTTGACGAATCGGACATTTCTAGCGTCATATGGAAACGCAAGCCATGGCGTCAGGAGCGCTTCGGTCCTCAATATTTCACAAACTTTTTATTGTTACATTTGTTGTCTTTGTCATGTGGATGTAATATGTTTTGACTGCTCATTAAATATAATATTTCATTCTTGCAATGGCATTAAACAAAGGCCATCTACAATGCAAATTCCACACTGTGAGGAAAAAGCGAAGCTGTATTGTCGGCAGCTCGTGTCTCTAGCAGTGTAGGTCTAATAATCACCAATGACATGCACTTACTCAAAGGCGAAGAACAGAGAGCAGGTTCCAACGATGAGAAATAAGGTCAGGTAAAATACTCCTTTCTGCCGACCCATCATAACCCGTCCATCGCAGCAGAAGGTGTTTTTCCCAGGTAATTTCTCCCATTTTCGAGTAACCTTCCGTGTTATCATCACCGCCGACATGATAGCGAAGGTACAAGGTAATCGTGTCCACTTAATGATTAACCTGAGATTAACGAACGATGGAGTGTTATCAGCAATAAAACATAGAGGAGCTTCTTTGCAGCAATGTAATTCTTCCTACACGTGCACGATGTGTTTGTAGGATTCTTCCCGTGTTTCCTCACGGATCTTCAGTGTTTCTTAAAATCATCAATCTGTCGCGTTACATATCTGCTCTTCTGTGTTTAAATCCATGATTAAAGTCCCCATCAAATACCAAAAAGCAAAATCCTCATCCGAAAGCGAAGATTCCCCATACTGGCACAACTTGAAACTGTTTCCGTTCAAAATGTACACAGGTTTCAAATGAGAAAGCGAAGCTAACCTGAAGTAAGCGTGTAAATGCTAAACGCACATCTGGAGTGTGAGTGGACCTTGACCGACTGACATTTATGTCATTGGTTAGGTTGGTTAAAAGCGTCTATCCCGAAAGGATTCGCCGTCCCTTTTCTCTTAAAAGAATACAAAATAAATCTGAGTAAAGCCTTTTGTGACCTATGCCGATTATACAGGAATTATTTGAGCAACGTGGTCAATAATCTTTCCTCCAATTTCGCCTCGTAGGATGCAAGCAGGGCTGGATTCTCTTCGGGAGCAGGAAACACGCCTAGATTGAAATGTCTCTTCTTAAAGGGCCAGTGTCTCACTGTACAGGGAACAAAGGAATTTTGTCTTCTAATACAAAATGACTAAGTGAAATATTGTTACTTTTGAGCCTTTTAGCCGAATGTGATATTCTCAGCGCGTTGAAAGGATACTTCATTCAAGTGTGTTCGATTTTAGGCATATTCCAGCCATAATTATTTTATTAGCTATTTGATTTTTACATTGTCTGTTGTTGTTGTTATACATCTTGTTACTAATGTCTTATATTTATTGTCCCGTGTTCTATTTACTGTGTGTATAATTGTGCTGAAATGTCGTTGTTTAATATAAATAGTGTGCTTCTAAATGGTTTCCTAAGATAGTGTTTCCCAACCTTTTTTTAGTCGCGGCACCCTTTGGAGATTTTAACAAACTTGTGGCACCCTACAAAATTAATTTTGTCATTGACTGATGAAGTTAATACGCATGCGCAGGCAAACGCTCAAGCGCGTCACACACGATCCGCCTACTCTTGCATAATTGACACCCTCTCATTAGCATGTTGCGCAGAGGAAAAAAAATAAAGTGGAATTACATTCAGAAATAAATGAGTGATCAAAGGAAAATAGTTAGGATGAGTTTAGCATTTCCTTAAACATTTTCCATTTGCCCACCAATTTATATTATTTATTTGCCTACTTTCATCACATGTATAATTATTTATTTATGTATTTAAACAAGAATATGTGTATTTATGCACACATTTATTTATTTATTTGTGTATTTATTGATTTATTGTTTTTGCAGGTTTCGTCCTCCATACATTACCGGGTACCACTTCTTTCTTTCTTTCTTTTACCTTTTTTATTCCCTAAATCTTTTTTGAGGTATTCAGGAAATTACATGTCAGCTGAGAAACAAAAGATGCTTTATTCAGTTGTAGGCTACTGTATCCAGTGACAATTGCATGAGTATTTTATCTCTTCGGATCTTGCACAAAAAAATAAAGCTTTTGTATTGCCTTTTATTATATAAAATGCTGTAAGCGCATATTCAGCATTAAAGCTTAGCTCATGAGAGATGGAGTTCAGTCAGTTTATGAGTAGGAGTTCATTAGAAACAGTGGGCAGGAAATATGAGCTATAGCAGAGATTATTTCTACAAATAAGAAAGCTACTAATTCGCATTAATTGGTAGCTACTAATTACTAAAAAGCAAGAAGAGGTGACAGGTTTGGTGACAATAGCCTACAAGGAAATTAAAAGAACAGACCAACAAGCAAGTGGCAGGTTTCCTTTACAAATTACACAAGCCCACTCACTACCTTGAACAAAAAATATTTTGTCAGAACACATGGGTCATTTTCAAAGACACTCAGTGGGAAAAACAGATGTTTTTTGGAACCAGATGATGGTGTAGATATTAATGGCATCTGCTATCAGGGGCTAATGCAGAAGTCATCATGCTAACCAATCAAATCTTCTTGACCCCTCGGCCTGGCCTCTGCTGGTAGATTCTGTAACTGCACCATCTGGTTCCAAAAGGCATCTTTATCCATTGATCTTTTAAAATGAGTTACTTTAATTAATGATTAATAAAGAAATACATGTTTATATTATATGTTTAGAATAAATAATGTTTATAATAATGTATATCTGTGTTCTCATGGCTTAATTTTCCAGTGACTCCACAAACATTAGCCCAACCATTTTTATTTTATTGGGGAGAAATGAATCCCATTACATTACACAGTAATTCAATTAGTAATTAAGGTTTTAATATGCTTAATTTCAACACTTCAAATTTTTTTGATCAAGAATCACTTCTCTTACAAAGGACAAAATAATGAAGAAAAGCACTTTGGCAAATAGATTAAGAAAAGTGTTTTATAAAATGTTTTAAAAAGCTGCCATTTAAAAAAAAGGATTAATTAATATATTCTTTTTATTATTAGATTTAAATAACATTTTCAAAATTAATTAAATTTTATTTGTCTATTTATTTTTCAATTTGAAAAGTTTTCTAATAATGTATTATTTTACTCTTACATTTACCTACAGTTGTAAACGAAGTAACTGCACAGTCTGTTTAGTTGTCAGTTTTTATTTTTTAATTAATAAATTAATTTATTCCTTCATAAGTGAGTTACTTGAAAACAAGAAAGCATGTGAAGTGTTAATTTATTTACTTGATTTTATCAAACCTTGGTTTTTGACATTCTTCCTCTCTTTTTATCTTTTAGAATTTTTTTATTTTTTTAAATATGTACTTTTTGTAAAAATGTATTTTGTGTATTAACATAAAAGTTTATATAAAGTCTGTAAAAACTTTTAAAGCACAAACATAATTTCCGCCGTTGCCTACTTAGAGGAAATCGACGTCTTTGTGGTTTATTCACCGTGTTCGTCACAGCGAGACAACACAAACGAACAACATTTCCCACAGTGCCTTTCGCGTGGATTCGACATCCGCTTAAACATCCGCGTTCTAGAAGCCAGTACTAGTGCTGGACTGCAACCAGCTTTCTTACCTTATCCCGTCCAAATTAATGAGATGGAGGGCAGGTGAAACTGACTCCAGAACAGATACTACTTTTTTGTTGTTTTCCGGTTGTGTGTACGGAAATGAATGCGACGTTGTAGCGTCTAAATGTGAGCACTCTTCTGTGTTATTGAAAGGTATGAGTTCATAACTAACTAATTATCTGAATGTGTAGTTTTGGTCAACCGTTTATTGGAGTTTTGCAGTCAGATGTAGCCGTTGCTTTTCTCCTTCTGAGTAGGAAGTACAGCAAACCTGACTAGCTGCTTTGTAAAATAGCTTTGTATTGTCACCAGGAACAGAAGTGTAGAGTTATCGCAACGTACATCGTATCTCATCGTATCCTCTATAGGATTCTTGTTGTTATTGCTGAACAAATGTAATTTAGAGCACGAACTGCCATTATAGTTTTGTTCTAATCATAATCTTTATTCTTATTTAAAACTATTACAGGGTTACAGTCGAGCATGATGTCTGAGGGCAGTTCATTTATGAAAGGCATGATCCTAGGGGGCATATTCTGCCTGGTGATGGCTTTCTTTGAGACCTTTAATTCAGGAACCCACTCAGAAGGTCGTGAGCATCTCCACCATCATCTGAAACCTGTCAGCAAAGATGAACTACAAAAGTTATCAGAGTCTCAGATGTCTGACTGGACCCTGCAGGTTCGAGTGTACTGTCTCATCATGGTCACTCCCAAGCTCCTGGTCCACTGGGCGACAGCCAATGACACTTGGAGCAAACACTGTGACAAATCTGTGTTCTACACGTCAGAATCGTCCAAAGCTCTAGAGGCGATTGACCTACAGGAGCAGGATGAGTGGGCTAGGCTACGCAAAGCCATCAAACACGCCTACGAGAATGCTGGAGACCTGCGCTGGTTCTTCGTGGCCCGGCCCACCACGTACGCAATTATAGAGAACCTCAAGTATTTGGTGTTGGATAAAGATCCAAGCCAGCCGTTTTACATTGGCCACACGGAAAAGTCCGGAGAGCTGGATTACGTGGAGTATGACAGCGGGATTGTGCTGAGCTATGAAGCAATGAGGAGGCTGATAGAGATATTCAAAGATGAGGACAGATGTCCAGAGCGGGGACACGCCTTGTGGAAGACGCCTGAAGAAAAGCAGCTCGCCACCTGTCTGAAGTACACCGGGGTGTTCGCTGAAAACGGAGAGGATGCACAAGGCAAAGGGCTTTTTAACAAGAAGAGCGTCAGCTCCTTGATTTCCGACAGCATGGGCCAAAACCCAGCCGACGTCGTAGAGGCCTGTTGTTCTGACATGGCCATCACGTTCGGTGGCATGTCTCCGAGCCAGATACAGGTTTTGATGTATGGCGTCTACAGACTCCGGCCATATGGACACGATTTTCATGATTCCTTGACATTTCTGCCTCCTAATGACTCTGATAATGACTGATTGACTTCATGGTTTCTGTACTGGAACTGTTACTGTATTGAAATGTTGATCATAACTGGGAGCAGGGCCGAATTAGATGTGATGTGCAGTTTGTACTTTAATTCTGATCATGTGTTCTGAAAGTTGGTGCGGGTGTGCAAGTTGAGGGGTTTTCACTGCTTTCTGCTACAAATGCATTCTGGCAAAAGCAAAAGGATAATTTTTTGCATATAAGTTAATAATGAGGGGCCAATATTGGATAATTTTGTACACTTATAGTGTTTTGAACAAAAATTACACTAGATATATGAATGGCGCACATTTGGATCAGATATGCACTGTTATGCAAAATTAAAAGACCCTATAAAGTATATAATGCTAAATGTATACTTAATATGATCTGTTTGATGATAACTGTCTATATCACCCTTAAAAATGTCAAACTAATGTGGCTTGAAAGGTTAATAAGCTTGAGATTGTAAAATTACTTTTGCATAGAAAATTATTTATTTACATATCGAAATGTTTTCTTTCTGTAATTCAGATGTACTTCATCATACACTGGCTTGTGATTTTTTTTTTGAATGTTCTTTACTACATTTATTAAGTAAACACATCAGGATGCTTGTTTTCACCTGTATAGTAAAGGTTACAAATAAAAGAGTGCTATCAACAGATGATACAGTGCAGTGAATAAATGAATAGGCCCATAAAACTTATTCATTTCTATGGATACTTGATCTTTCAACAGATTATATGATAAATAAAATGTTGCGTTTTCATCTGATTTGTCTTAAGGCTTCAATCAGCTTCCTTCTTTTCATATTCTCTCCTCTCTCTTGACTCTTTCAAATGTCTTTCTCTTCTTCTCCAGTTCTTGTTTTTCTCTCAGCTCTAGTGTTTCTGTTTTGTTTTTTATCCTCTTTCACTCATTCTCTTATATCTTCATTTTCTGTTGTCATTTAATTTCTTTTTGAATCCCTATGCTGTTATTTTAAGCCTTTTATTTTTCTCTTCTTCTTGTTGATCCTTCGTTATTTCTTCAAAATCTCTTGTAATGTCGTCTTGTTTTGTGGCACAATGAGACATTTCCGTGTTTTGGTTGATACTTAGTAAAATATTGCCCTTTGTTGGATGTAATCATCTCTGTCATTTTTACAAGTTGAGTAACTTGAATTCGGTCTTGTTTTTCTCTTCATTTTTTACCCTCAACCTCACAAACTCCCTTCTTACAAACATTTGTCACTGAATGTATGTTGCTTTCAAACTCATTTTATCCTAGAATAGTGTTTCCTGTTGCACTCTTTCCACATCCTGTCCTCCCAATCAGCACAATTCTCAAACACTCCAGCTCATCTGGTTGATCTTCAGCTCCTGGGAATCATATTGCTCAATGTCAGGTATTACTATTCATACAGGTTTAGGTTTGGTGATGTTAAACCCATGAGTGTCCACAATGAGATTTAAAAATCAATTTTTGAGCATTACTGTGTAGAATGTCTTCCAAATTTCAGGAGAAAAAAGAGAGAGCACCAGCCCATGCTGAGAAAAAAATTCTAGGAGCATATACATTTATAGGGATATTTCAGCTAATTCAAAGAAGTGCAAGAATTGTCATTTGTGTCCCCTCAAATAAAGTGCCTTAAATCCGTGGCTGTTATTGAAGGATGGAGCAGGTAAAAACTAGACTGTAAACATCCAGCTCATATGTGAGAGCAGCAAAGTGCTGTTACTGGACACAGCAGCAAAATAAATTAAAAAAAAGGTAATGAAAAACTACATTAATATGATAAATGTCAAATGTAATTATAAAACAGTATGAATGACCCCTTTAATTTTTGTACATGAAGTACGTTATTTAGTTTCTGAGCAGATTTATTTTGAAATAAATGAAAAGCAGGTATGTTTTAAGATGTATTCTTGTAAGCATTATAGATAGTTTGTGTTTCTGGTGTAGAACCAAACTTTATTTATCTTAATTTAATGCTGTATATTGAGCAGCGGACGATGTTAACTCCATATACGAGATACATAACTGAGGAAAAATGCATTGTTGGTCAGCGCCACATAGCGTGCAAGTGTGAATTAGCAGAAGGCGATCAATCGTTTCGCGCTCTGTGTGAAAAGACCTTTATGGCCAAACAGATAGAAAGTATAACTCACCCTTTACTGTCCTCGTACTTTGCTGAAAGACAAATTTGATACTGATTAAATGAAACAGGCATTAAGATGGGAAGGTGAACATTACCTATTAATTTAATTTACTCACTCTCACAAAGGGGCATAGAATTCTAGAGATCTAAAAAAAGA